GCAAACACACTTTATTGGCAATACAACTTAAACTTTTGTATCTCACGGTTTGTACAACCTCCTTTCTACCACTTTCTGACATAAATGCATATCCAACGTCCATTCGGGTATTTTTGTCCATCACTTCATTATGAGTGACGAGGGAATTTCCATGACATGCTCCCACTTCATCACATAAAACAAATAGCAACATAAGATGCCTTTGCTTTCATATTTCTGACAGTTGTACTCTATTTGAGCATCTTTCCCCCCAAGGTACACACAACTCCAATTATTTTGTGGTTCACCGTATTTCGCTAAAATATACAACCATCCTCCGAAATTATGAACTATTTTTTCATGAATGAGTGCTGACGAAACATTGATCTCGTTACATACCAATACAAAGCACATATGAGTGTAAATTTGATAAGTATGTAGCTCAAGACTTTTCAAGGTTGTTGTAAGTACTTTCTCTTACTGTTTTGGTCAAAATCATCATTCCCTGAGGCAGTCCTCATTCGTACTATGGCCCTATCAATTGCTGGAATGCATTCAAACATCTTAACGCATTTCCTCAAGTAATCTTTCACAAACTTGTTCATACACTCCACGCATTGAGTAGTGCACATACCATCGAAAAACTTGGGTCTAAGGAGTGATTTCGCCCACGCATCTCGTTTTGCATACATCATTTGCAACCATTCCTTTTGTTTATGTGTAGTAACTCTTTCCTTCAAAAACTCTAATTTCTTTTCAAATTCATTGACTGTAATTGGTTCCCAAAGATATGCTTGAAATGATCGTACCAATTCTTCATCCTTTAAGTTATTCTGTGCATTCCTTGCCATGTGCCATGAGCACAACCTATGATTGCACATGAGAAACACATACTCAATTGCTTTGTGCGTGTCGGCTCATCCCCATCCGTCAGTATTGATGTAAGCTTCTTGCCTTTCATGGAGGATATGAATGTCTCCAATAACTACTTTTATGTTGCAAAGGTCTCGTCAAGCAATAGGGCACAACCAACATGACAGGACCCGACCCAAATTCCACTTTGGAATCCGAGCCAAACCCTGTTCGTGATCGACACCTGGGGGTGCCGAGCACAATTGACTTGGTTGCCCTTTTTTTTTATTAAAAACTTAATTCCCTTAAATCCTGACTTCTACCGAAAATTCTGTAGAGTCTCCCTTGTAAATCGAACGTTCCCAAAATTTACACCTGTCAACAAGCAACTTAAATATATACACCAACTGCCAGTATACAAAAATAAATATGTTTCAACAGTAAAATACGTTCCCGGGCAATATCCGAGCAATAAGCGGGGAATGTTCTGTGGTGGCTCTCGGATGCACGTCTGCAGCCTGGGGGCGCAAAACATTAAAAAGGTGAGTGGACCCCAAAAACAAAGTTTAGAAAATAAGTAAGACCATACTAACCCCACTGTAAAAAAACAATTATAAAAAACTAACTCATTTTCTTTATCATATACATGCTGAAATCAATGTATTCATGCATCTGTATATATAAATATATATATACCAATCACATTCATGGTTAACATTAATCTTTTAAAACATTAAAATCCGTTTAAAACTACCACTTAGGTGTACCCCTCTATTTCCGTCAATTCATGATTTGCCATCAATTCCTAATAACCATCAATTCCTGATATCCGTCAATTCCCCTGGCAAGTCTCGGTGACACAGAGTCAACCCGAGCCGCATTCCTGGCTCCGCACAAGTCCGGGTACCAAGGAACTCGTGGGGCAACTGTCAAGCATGCTGACTAAACAGAAGGCA